GATGAGTAAATAATTCACATTTCATGTTACAGTGAAAGACAAAAAAAGTGTGGTTTTTAATTTCTATATCTGAATATTCTTGTCCAAAGTCATTTTATCGATTAAAGAAGAAATCAAAAGAAGTGAGGGGGCTTATGGGATTAGACTAGATTTACATTAATTAAGTAATCCTTTCAACCGCCAACTAAGATTGTAAAATTTTTGAAAGTAGTTACAGGTAACATAAAGAACTACACTCAAGTGCCAAAACATTATGACCACCCCTACATTTTGCAATGAACTCGCCTAGATGACGTGGAAGGCACGTGATCAGGTGTAAGTGGTATTTAACTGGTATTAAGTGGTGGTATAAATCCCTGCCAAGGCGGGTTGAAGCTGTGTTGCGCGCCAAAGGTGGGCCAACTCGTTATTGACAGGTGGCCATAATGTTTTGGCTCTTGAGTGTATGTATAATTCAAATAACAAGACATAACAGACGCTTGTACGTTTTAAAATATGATCATGGCAGTGGAATTCAAAAAGGAACAGAAGGATAGAACTGAAATTTGAATGAATGAATAAAGTTTATTGATGAGACAAAACTATAAATCATATATATATATATTTATTCTGTTGCCTTATCCTTTTATTATTTTCAGCATTATTATTTCAATTCGGGGTTATATTCATATAACCCCGAATTCAAATAATAATGCTGAAAAGAAGCACACAGTATTAGGATATAATCTTAAAAAATGATTAGATAAAGTTTGTCAGATATTTAAGATTTGAAGTATTATCTGGATATATAGTTCTGTGTGTTATATTTTTCTACATTTCTCTTTCAAGACTTAAATTTAAGTTAAAAGGAGTATAATAAATAAAGAAAAAATACCACTTCGTTTATTAAATATATTAAATTTTATATATTTTTATTAATAAAAAAATTTTAAAGAAAAAATATGCAAATGCAACTTTATGTAACTTCTTAAAACCCAAGTTCGTATTTTTTAAAAATTTGCTGTTTGCAAGAAAAAAAATGAAATGCATATAAAATTTTAAACGAATTTAGTTACACAGAATACAAAATTGTATATATGAATATGAAAGTTTAAACGGAAGTTGTCCTTTTTGATAAATCATGTATATTTAAGTTCCAGCTTATTGGATTTAAGTCTTGTGTGTATCATTATGTCACATAATTTATGCACCTGCAGGAAGTTTGATGTTGATTTTAAAATTATTATTTCTTTTGAGAATGATAAGGCTGTCAAATATAATGAGAATTCAAAAATTTGTCTTATTTTTGCATCCATGTAAGAACATAAAATTGTGAGATTTAGGGAGTAAGTCTCCCCTTACTTTTCTCTTAGAATATTCAAATTTGTATACACTTAATACAAATTTGTATACATATAAAATACACTTTCATTTAAGATAAAGGTTATTTCTTGCAACTTTTCTTAAAGTGTTTTTCCAATTTTTAACCAGAAAAGTGAGTAATTTAAATGGCAGTTTCTCAGAATCCACCCAATCTATTTTCTCAAATATTACATAAATAGTGCTGTGTGTTTCGATTTATAATAAAAATCTCCTGGGGCCAGTTACACAAGTTTCTTAAAGCGACGTTTAGGACTTTTTATCCTTTTTCTTAAACAGCGCCAATCTATAAAAATATATTCATTTTTGTTGAAGAAGTATAAATTCTTATTTCTAACATGAATGGCAAAATATACCGCAATATTAGTTTTCATTTTGTTATGACATAAACGAAAGCTAAAATGAAAATAGATATTAAAATTTTACTGGATAAATGAACAGCAAAAATGGAAATTTTTATGAAGAAGGGAAAGTTAATTTTTGTTTCTAAATACAAAAAAACAAAAACATTTTAGGCAAAATAATCTTACTTATTCTTAGGACACCGAAAGAATTCTAATGCTTTAGTTCCTGCACATATTTCTAATATATAGTTGTGTCATACATTTTAGTAATTTATGAGACAAACTGATATTCGATTAGATCGAAATCTGAATATATAGCAGCATTTTATTTGGTAAATTTCATAGTAATAAAAGATATAAATAAAAGATAAAACATTCTGATGTCGTTTCCGTTTGTAAATAGAATCTTAAAGAAATAAGCTCCGTGTTTTGAGGTGAAATTAATAAAGATGTTCAATAGAATTAAATTCGCAATTTGAATGATTGACAGCAAATAAAGCACTACAAAATCCACGGTTTTCTACAATAAAACACTTAAAGAACAATGTTTTCTAGCACAAATATTTTCAATTACAGATGATTCTGAATATTACATTCTTACTTTTACGTAGAAATACAATATTAGCGAAATATACTTATATAAGAGCATTTTAATAATTTGTTTACCTGTTTAGCAACAAATGTAACAAATCTTTCTAGATGTTTACTTTAGCTAATAATAGTTTTCTGGAAATCGATCTGGTTGGAAAAAAAACTTCATCTAATGTTCTGGTAATTGTTCTGACTAATTAATGTTGCAATTAATTCAAGATGTCCCTTTGACTCTTTTCGAAAAAGGTATTTTACCACATTTGTTTTACATGCTGTTTGTTTTTGAAAAGATAAACTATTCAAGAGATGTCCTTGCTTGGCAGAAGAAGAAATTATTGAAAGATGAGATAATATAAAAATATACCACTATCAATTTAATAATTGGAACTTTTGACATATTTTATATTGTTAAACATTTGAATGCATTGCAGTAATATTATTTTTGACAATATAGCTCTATATTTGTGGGGCGGGGGAATTGGATGTCTGCTAAGTTGTTTTTGAAATTTATATCTCCGGTTCTTAATTTGTATTCATTCTTAACATTTTTTAAGTAGGTAGATTAATTATCTTAGATTAAATGTTGTATAATAGATGATGTTGGATTAAAAATTGATAATAATCTTACAAAAAAAGATGCTGTCACTTCGAAATTGTTATAATCGGGGAACCCACAGTGATCGGCGAACATTTATGATAATCACACCATGCAACAACAAGAATAAATCTTATAATAAAACATTTATAATTTTTTAATAAAAGTCATATTTTGATAGAATTACGCTTGACTATTGCTTGCATTAGAATACTACAAATTTCGCTTATAAAAAACTGCTATGAATGGCATATCGAGATTTTTTGTATCAACTCACTGAAAACAATCTGAGGTGAATTTTGAAAAATCAGGCATTGAAATTACTCACATTTTTAGTCAAAACTTGAAAAATAAACACTGTTCAGTAAAGGCTTTATAAATATGATCGTATATTTAGCATTTTTTAAAATTAAAGCTTAGGTTATAACAAACAAATTAAAAAAATAAAGATTCTAAGAGAAATTTAAAAGGGAGTAAAAAAACTTATTTAAATTTTTGACAAATCATAACTTTTGAATCACTAATTAATTTCTGCTATATAGTTTTGAAATTATCACCAAAAGTACTATGTCATCAATATTGATGATCGTGAATGTCATTCTGAAAATGTTCTGGTGGTTTTGAAATTAAAAGGTTCTCATTATAAATTCATGGAATGACATATCATTAATCACGATTAATATAGTAAAAAATAAAAGAGGATTTTTCATACCCTTTTCATGTTTATGAGTGTTCGGCAATGTCCTGAATCAATATTTATAATATTATTGATTGTAGAAACCAAAGAAAAATACTCAGTAGAAGATTATTTAAGATAGAACATTTAACATAAAATAAAGTCATTTTAATTACAAAAAATTTCTATTTTAGAAATGATATTTTGATTAAATTGATTAGAAATGACAAATTTGTGTTTTAGAATAAAATAATTTTTTTTTATTATTTATATAAGAAATAATTTGTTACTTTTCAATTTAATGCATGCCATAAAATATTGTTCGACGCAATGTTTTAATAACCAAATCATTCGCAAGTAGTATTCAATTACTTAATCTAACAAAAGAATTTATACCCTGCATAAAGCTTTTTTTTTTTTTGCATGAAAGCAAGTATTTTTAAAATATGTACGGCTGCACATTATATTTTGTAGTTCTATAAAATTGAATAGAAGTATAGTTTATTAAAATTAATAGAAAGATTATTAATAGTTAATTAATTTCATAGTTTATAGTAAAATTAATAGAAAAAAACAGTTTTTTAAAATTCGAAATATAATGTTAAGAGAAACGGGCCTGAATGACCGAGTGGCTAACGCTCTGGCGCTGTTTACCACAGGTTTCGGGTTCGAGTCCCGGCGGTGCCATGTGTTTGTAGTGGTTCGGAATCCACTTTAAAAAGTAGGTCCCGGTTTAATAGGATCGTAAGAGCGTTGCGGGGGCATTGCTACTCCACGTCAGTGGCTTATCTTCAAGTTACACGCGCCCCCTGGGTAATGCAAAGTGAGTACGTCTCAGCAGCGCTTGCCTTAAGGCATCCAAGACCAAGCTGTCTAAGTGTTTGCCAGCTTCATTAGAAAGAAAAAAATTTTAAGAGAAATACTAAAATATTATTTTTTTTCATTAAGATTACTTATAAATTTTAATTATAGACAGAAAATAGTTCTTTTCAGCCTTTTCGGATCATTAAATTTTAATTATTGGATAAAAAATATTATATATACAGTTTTTCAGTTCAATGATTTAGTTATATTTCTAAAAAAAAAAAATGATAATCTTATGATTTTAAGGTGTCTTAAGGTGACCCTTCAACGATCATCATTTATTACGTTTACTTTTGTTGTTGTTGTTTCTTATCCCACTTGGCTGGCCAAGCCCACGAGCCCATATGGACTCATGATTGAAGGGAAAGGAAGCAGCTTCTGTTGTGATGGAGCACCCGTAGGTAGAAGTCTGACTTTTGCTCCGTGACGCTCTTACAGTCATAGAAGACTGGGACCTACGGCCTAAAGTGGATTCCGAACCACTACAAACATCCATGGCACCGCCGGGATTCGAACCCGAAACCTGTGGCACCGAGCGCCAGACACTCGGTCATTCAGGTCCCAAATTTGCCAACGGCACGCAGTGTTCCCAGGTGGTCACCCACCCTAGTACCCAATGATGCTTAACTTCGGTGATCTAACGAGAACCGGTACGTTTACTTTTATATGAGCGATATAAACTATTTATATCTGACTATCTCATTAAAGATAACAGCTCCCTTAATGGCTGTTAAAATGAAAAAAAAATGTTTTATTTTTAAAGTTACTAAGATGATTTCTGCGTTTTCCAATAAAGAAAGTATTTTCTGAATTTAATTATGGATAAGTATTTATATAAAATTTCATTATTTTTCTCTTTGCATAGTTTTATTTTGAAGTTTTTTTTAAATATTTTGAATTTCGTTTATTAAAGTGTTTTCCCTCAACCATTGGCAACACTATTGTTCAATTCCTAATGTCCAATTGCGTCAAACCAACGCGTTTTAAAAAATAGTTCAAGTTAGGAAATACAAGCTAATAGTGGATATATACAAATGGCTACTTTTATAATGAAATTGTCAAGACGAAGACGATGATATTAATAAATTTATTTTAAAAAGCTTTAAGTTAGAATTTGAACTTTATGTAAAATGTAGGAAATTAATCAACAATTAATTAAATTGTTATGCTGAAAATTTAGAAAATTTCTTCCTATCATATAAAGAAGGTAGGTTAATTTAGAAAAGATTATTTCATACATCAAATAAAAATTATCTTCAACTTTTTATTATCTATTTATAAGCAACAAATAATATAATATAATTTTTTTTTCAAAAGTTCTAATAAAAAGATGTAATTTATTATCAATTACAAGAGGAATTAATACAATTAAAGAAATGGTAGACAAACTGTTAATTTTTTTTTTACATTTAATGCTTTTGATAAATTTAAAACTAATAATTATTTTCAAAAGTATTCAAATATTATTTTTATTTATTTAAATAATTTAATTTCGGTTAAGAATCACGATAAATTAAGAGAATAAAAATTTATAAATCGCTTGATTTTTTTAAACTAGGAATTTTCACGTATAAACATGATTATTAACTTCATAATGGAAAAATAAATATTTTAACTTACATAATTTCTATAATTCACAAAAAAAAATGATTTTGAAATTTTTCTTATATATATATATATATATATCTTTTTTCATTTTATAAATTATTTACACACAGACCCTTGAAAAATTATTGTAAGTAAATTGATTAGTTCTGTCTTTTTTAGAACATATTTTAAATAGCAAGGGGCCTGATGGCCGAATGGCTAGCGCTCTGGCGTTCGGTAACACAGGTATCGGGTTCAAATCCCGGCTTTGCCCATGGGTGTTGTAGTGGTTCGGAATCCACTTTAAACCGTAGGTCCCGGTCCTAATAGGATCGTAGAGCGCTGCGGGGGCATTGTTACTCCGCGTCCGTGACTTACTATCATGTTACACGCGCCCCCTGGGTAATGCAAAGTGAGTAACGTCTGCGCAGCCCTTATGGCGAAAGATCACGGTCTATTTGCCAGCTGCATTAGAAAAAAAAATTAAATAGCAAAAGTAAGCATAAGAATTTTTTAGACTAGAATAAATTTTTGTTAATAACGTAGAAAATTGCTTGACTTCGGGAAATAGGCAAAGATAATTTATGAAAGGCATGAGGTTACAAAGTATCATTTACAAATTTGAAACTTCGTACAGTATAGTTTGAAAATATGTTTGATACCATTAAAATTTCACAAATTGTATAGCTCTGAAAATTATTGTAAAATTATAAATAGTTTATAAATAAATAATAATTATTACTTTATTATATTTTAAGAAAGTTAATTTAGTTTAATCAACTATGAAGGGGAGTTTTCTGAAAGATATTAACATTTTGTAAAATAATTGATTGAATGGAAGTAACTTGAGTTTCAATTTCAACGATATTAGAGCGAACTTTGATATTTCTGTTTCTCCTACAGGATAGTATATATATTATGTATTACTTATTCATATGTATTTACAAAATACATATCGTTTCTATGTAGTTTGACCCTATTTATTAAATAAAAAAGTATGCATTGGATTAATTGATTTAATAAATGTCATTCTTTTATAAAATTAAAACCTTATCAGTTTTACTATATATCAATCAAATTTCTTTATTATTTACTGAAAATATTAAATATATATGGCACTTTTAAACAAATATATTAATATATTTGTTTAAAAGTGCTGTAACATATTCTTACAAAATATTTGTATTTGAATTATTTTAAGAAATCGCAATTGTTTTTTGAATAATTGTTATAATAATTTGTCATGCAGATTTATATTAATCCATAATATTATTCATATGAAACAGTAAATTTAAATTATAATATTTTGTTTTTTAAATTATGCTGGTGCTTGCCTTGCATACAATTAAATTTTGAAATAAAATCTTATTTTTCATCAACAATCTTTTATATAACATTACGCCTGAGACTTCTTTTTTTTGTATTTACGGCAATTTTAAATTTTATTGGATATATATTACTGGTCAGGAAAAATTGTTTGCCAATTTTAATAAGCGATATAATAATTTGTCTCAAATATAATAAATCATTGTTAATAATCTTTCTCAAACGTTTTGAGATGAAAGTAAATCATAAAAATTTAACTTTTATTAACTTTAATTATATTTTAGTGCATTTTAGATATTGTAGCCTTTTCCGCTGTTCAAGTTTGTGGAAAAGAATTATAAAAAAAAATTGTTTATCTGAGAAAGGAAGCCTGGTTTCTTTACCATCGTTCTTTCTTCTTAACGTGTATTTTTGGCATTTTCAATTCCTATTAGGGCGTTTTACAAATTTGCTTTCTCTTGAAAAACAGATGATAATATTTGTAACTATTTTAATAAATTTTATACAATACAGCTTCTAAACATATTTGCTAGATTAAACAAGAAATATTTTTACCTGATGTTAAATAGAAGTAATAAAAGCAGTATTTAATATCTTTATCTGATTAAATTGTTAGTTTACAGATGTAAATAAATGACTCAATAAAAAAATTTGATGTGCTGCTTGTTTAAAAATATTTTACCATTAAGTAAGTTTCCTATACTACTAAGTATTATTTAGGTATTTATTATTGTAGGTTATATTTCCTATACTACTTCTTAAGTTACTACTGATTTAAATTTTACTGATTTACAATAATAATTTTTACTACTGATTTGCATTAATATTTTTCAACAAATGGCCTTTAAATGCAGTTTCTAGATTGTCAAAACGCCTTTTGGCTATTTGACATAATAAAAATAAATAAATAAATAAATTACAAGCAAAACAAATATTATAAAATGGTGCATTGGATTATTTTACTATAATATAGCCATAAATATAAAGAATATCTTTAAGTATTTAAAAGTAACAATATTCTGTAGTTAATTTCCGTAATTGAATAATATGAAATGTAATGTATCCTCTTTTAAAATAAAATTATTTGTCTTAAATTTATATATCTTTTCTATTCAACAAGTAATATTTTATGACATTCTATTGTTCCTTCAATAAAAATTATCAAACAAATCTTTTGAACAAATACTTTCTCAACATACTGTATAAAAAACAATTTTGTTGAAGACAGACCATATTTGTGAAGGCTTAATTGTTATATAATCTACGTAATGGAGTTTCAAGTTTTGTTTTTAATAAGAAATAAAAGATCGAAAACATTGTTGAAATATAAATAAAAATATAAAGAGAAATAAATAAATAGAAATAATAAGAAATAAACGTAGATATTAATATTAAGAGAAATAAACATAGAGAAGTAGAGGGATTATTAGATCTGTCTGACAGATTTATTGCAGAAATTCAATAACTGAAAAACGGAGGTTTTACGACGAGATAAATATCAAGCATTATTAAGGAGAAAAATTAATAAAAAATATAATGCATGTTTTGAGTTATATTAAACGAACTGAGCATTCTTCCTTGAAAAATGCTTTCTTGAAATTATATTCTTTGAAAATACCTTTTAATGTGATATTATGTGTTATATAATATTCAGGGGATGTTTTAAAGCGTTAAACTTATGATATTATATACATAGACTATAAATAAAAATATTACTATCGTTAATTTTAATAATTAAATAATATGAAATGTAATGTTTCCTCTTTTAAAATAAAATTATTTGTCTTAAATGTATATATATATTTTCTATTTAATAAGCAATTTTTCATGACATTCTATTGTCCCTTCAATAAAAAATATGAAACAAAACTTTTGAGCAGTTACTTTATCAATATTCTGTACAGAAAACAATATTGTTGAAGATAGGGCACATATTTGTGAAGGCTTAATATTTATATAATACACGTAATAGAGTTTTAAGTTTTTTTTTAATATGAAATAAAAAATCGAAAACAATGTTGAAATAAAAATAAAAAGGAAAAGAAATAAACATAGTTAATAATACGAAGAATAATATAAAGAAGAACAAGTAATAAAAAAAAAAATTAAAGTCAATTCCTACTTTTTCACTATATTGCAGGAAGTCCTTTATAAATAATTTTTATTCATTTTTTTAAGTTTATCTGGCGCCATCTATTGGTAGATATATACAACGTAAATCCAAAAAACAACTAAAATTAATGAATTAAATTTAATTAATGAATTAATATTTGAAAAAAAAATGTATTCACATCCAGTGTCATCCACCGCGAGTTAAAAAAATGTATCTGAACTTGAGTGGATGAATAAACAGTATTTTATGAACGATTGAAAATTTGAACAAGATATATATATAGGGGGAGTGTGAGCTAATAGAAGGAATTGAATAAACGTAAAGGAGCAGAGTGATTTAATGCAGAAGTACCATAACTGAAAAAACGAAGGTTTTACAAAGAGATAAATGCCAAGAATTATAAAGAAGACAAATTAAAAAACAAATATATAAAGCATGTATTGAGTTATATTAAACGCACTATCATTTGGGATGATATTATATGCTACATAATATTCAGAGGTTTTAACACTATAAACGTTTGGTATTATATACATAGACTAATAAATTACGATACAGTGATTCTCAATAAAATTAAATAGATGTACATGCGATGTATACTAAGAAACTAAGCTAGAGAAAACTAAGAAATATTCCTCTTGAATATT